GGAGAGGAGAAGAGAGGAGAGCAGGCACAGCTGGAAGATGAGCACCGGAGCGGGCATCGACTACAGCGTCTGGGATCACGTCTACGTGTCGGACGATGAAGATGTGGCCTGTCCGTACGTCGACACGCCGAGCTTGTTCAGAATGAGACACCGGGTCAGCAGTGACACTTGTAGTAGCCGTGAAGTTTGGAGTCGTACACCTGGGTTAGTTTTACCTGTAGACGTGATTTTATAGGTAACGTTAACAGACCGACAACCAGAGGAGTCGGTACAGACAGGCAGCCAACAGGCGTAACGGAGAAATCAGTGACCCGTTAGATTCAGTGACGCTGAAGCAGTTAGTTCCCGTGACGCTGAAGCAGTTTAGTTCCCAACCGGTTCCCCCAAAGGACCCATTTTCTATCATTGTGTATGTGTAAACTGACAACTCCTGACTAACGTACATTACCCCTTTTATGGATATTTCATATTATATCCAATGCGATAAACGATTATTATTATTATTTTTAACAATACATACAATAAATACTTTGATAAATTCTGTGTTTTCTTTCTTAGAGAGTGAAGGCTCTGTGAATATAGCTCCAAAGTTGATTAATTAATACCCTAAACTTTAAAAGTAACAATTTAATTTAGTTTTCTTAACAGAAATGAACAAAATGCTCATTATTAATTATTTATTAAGTTTTCTTGCCCACCCTAAAATCAAGAAGGCCTTGCGACCCCAAAGCGCAAGAACTACTGTGCTAAAGGAGCTAACATTACTAGCTAAAGACCTTTAAAATAACAAGTTATACCAGGCTTTTACAAGAAGAAGAAAAGAAAAAAGAGGGAGATAGAAAAGGCAGAATACATGTTATAAAAACATAAAAGGTGTAAAATCGAGAGAAAGTAAAAAGAAACCGACGAAGAGGACAACTAAATGCTCTTTTTGTGGCCATATCTGACTGTGTGTGACTACAATGTTTGGGAACAGCCATCAACATTTGTGACCCATCTAAACAATACAGTATGCGACACATACGTGCAATGTAAGTGATAAAATTGGTGTTGATTTCAGATGAACACATTTATTTTGGAGTGGCGTTTATATATCGGCCGACAAGTAAAAAGTTATGTTTTCAGGTAGGAGTGTAAAAAGTCCACTCTTGACCTTTGGAAGAATAGTTGAAAAACATTTGAAGTTAAGGTTGAGTCACTAGTTCTTTCCAGAGCTTACAGCCACATTGCATACATATCCTGACTAGGCTATTTCAGGGCTTTCCTTTTTGAATGTCACTGACATCATTATCTCATCATCTTTCTTAAAAAAATGAATCAGATGCTTTGGGAAAAGCTAGAAAGGGGACTTTACACACTGAGTCACCGTTACAGTTCGTCCCTCAGACAGCACTGACAAGTTTATTTGGCAACTCCTCCCGTCAGTATCAAGGTCACAACAGCCCAACTTTTAACAACCCGTATCAAAATGTTTGTTATACATTTTAGCTGGAAAAATATCAATATTGGTGTCTGTGTGAAAAGTAAAGTATTAGTCTCCAGAGCTAACAGCATTCACTTACTTACTCCACGTCACTGATTCCTAACCTTATTGGCTCGTGACCGTTTAAGATGTCTGTTTGTGAACTATTGTCAGTGGTTGTGGTTTGCCCCTGTGGAGAAAAGAGGTAGTTTTTCTACCACCTTTTTTCATAAGAGGGAATCCCCTTGTACTATATTTAAGTAAGTAAACTATCTAGTGGCTTGTAGTCTCCCATGTCTATATTCATTCCAGTATTTCTCAAATCGAATATGTTGGGAATCAAAGTTTGCCACCGAGATGTGGGAATGTTGATGTAACACCAGTGGCTGGTAAGTGTTTGTCATGAGCTGGTACACTGGAGCATGAGGGTTTTGTATGATCGCTCATCACCATCAGCCAGTGAATGTAGGAATGTTGCCAAGTACGTTTTTCTTTAGTAAAAGATAAAACAACTGATTCAGCTCTGTTTTAATGATTCATGCCAAGCAACGGAAATAGTAGTATGATTAATAGTTCCTCAAATCCTTCTCTCCCACGCCAGGTGCTGATTCGTCATGTTTTTAAATAAATCATAGTCCAAACATTGCAAAATGTAGCTCCTAGGTAATTATATCTCTTTTATGTGTTTTATTCTTTCTGTCAAACACACATTTGTTGTTATGTGTGTGTTCTAGTTTTCTCCTAATATCACTTATTGAGAATCTCCCTACTCCCTCTTTTAGTGGTGCATCCTCTCCTCAGCTCCCACCATCTGTGTCTTTATCTTTCTGCTTTTTAAAAAATTAGAAAACTCTTAACTCTGATCCACTCTGACCTGCCACAGGCCCGGCTGGAGAGAATGGCCGAGTTTCAGCAGAGAGGGGAAGACCTGGAGAGTAACTTAGCTGAATGCAAGAGGCTATTAGAGGAAGCCCAGGGCCAACTTAAAGAGCTGGAAGAAGGAAGAAAGGAGAAGGAGGATGAGGAGAGAGAGGCCGAGCTGAAGAAAGTCCAGGCCGAGGTGAGAAAACTGAAAAAGGATGAAAAGTCCTTTGAGAAAATGATCGAAGAGCACCGTCGAGAAGGAAAGAAACTTCCCTGGGATGTAGACAACATCAGTAAAGAAGGCTTCAGCAGGGTAAAGCACGGCATCAAGGTCAAAGGTTTTCGCTAGATTTAGTGCGTCCTGTCAGTATCCTGATTTATCTGTTTTCTTTATCTTGTTTTCTAGAGTGTACTCAACGTCAAGCCTGTTTCAACAGAGGAAACGGGAGAGGAAAAGGTGGAGAAGCATACGGCCTTTGTGGAGAAATATGCAAAGGAAATCAAACACTTTGGTATGCTTTAGTGTGATGTGACTGAGCATTTTTGTTGTCATTTGTTCCCTGCTCACATTGTCTCTTTCTTAAAGAACGTACCCCTCCCTGCTGCTCGGCCCCACAGACGCTCACTTTTCCCGTTAGGTGGATTAGTGTTGTTAAGACCTCTTTATTTTAATCTGTACGTATGATGGTAGCTACTGTAGCTGTTGGTTAGTGTGCATTTATTGTACATACTCTCAATAGTCTATAATTTTGAGCCCAAAGCTATATGTATAAAATGGGAACTTCAGGGTTCAAGAACGTATTTATTGTTTATTTTTGTGTCATATGGTAAAGTCTTATTATGTTTAAGAATGAGTTTTTTGAGTTTGAGTATAATTACGAGAAACACTAATGAGGTTGTCATGACTTTGTGAGTCTACTAGCTACAAATAAAGAAGTATTAAAGAAGTACTAAAGCAATTTAATGTCACACCATTAATATCCGTCATAATGGGGCAGATCTAGATAAATAATAAATATTGTTGTGGCATATTAGTAAAGAATTGAATATGATCTTCAGACATTTTTCATTGATCTTAATCTAAAATGTGGCCATAACAGATCATTAAATTTGTTTCAGTTTTTTAACACGTTTTTAAAATCATCAAAATAAATGTGTTAAATTTGACAGAATTTCTCTTGACACCAAACTCGGGTGGCAGCTGGGGTGGCCAGGCATTTTTTTTAAGGGATGGCAGCTGTTACCCCGTGCCACCTCTCTAGACTCAGAAGAGACAGATTAAGAAACAAGAAAGAAAGCTCTGAATCAAAGCAGCAGAAGAGACACCCTGACTTTAAGTCCCTAGTTTTAGTAAACCTCAAAAAATACACAAAATCACCATTCTTGAAAAGGGTATACAGCTACGTCCATTTTTATTGTCGCTCACTAAGAAACAGTTTTCTAATGACTTAAGTCACTTGAACACCAAACATATTTGACTGCCCGGATTTGAATGTAGCATTATGCTGGATGTGTGTTTCCAGGTATGTTGCGGCGCTGGGACGACAGTCAGAAGTATCTGTCAGACAACCCACATCTGGTGTGCGACGAGACGGCTAATTACCTGGTTGTCATCTGTATTGACTTTGAGATAGATGAGGTGAGTGCTGTGAGAAAGGTCTGTATGGGTTAAAGGGACACTTCACCCATTTGCATTAAGCTTTGTA